CAGCGAGGCACATCGCCGCTTGCAACTTTAATTATATTTTAATAAACATATTTACAGAATTTTGCTTTAGAGGAATGTTCTTTGATCACAAGAGATTGATTAACAGAAGTTTTCTTTATATAAGTTGCTATACCGGTATTACAAGTACGGATATTGGCACATACCATAAAGAGTTCATTATAAGAGCATTACTGTAACAAAACATGTATTCTGTACTTCATATCTTATGTTTTACTGTTTAACTGGGTACGATAAAGAATTGTGTTTCTAAAAATATATCTTAACTAATCATTTACACTTTTACAAGAAACATCTCAAAATATCTACAGATTTCTACAATATTTGAAGTTTATTTAAATACATTTTGATATGAAATTGGACCCAGTAGCAACATCCGGTTGCCAGGTAAATAAAGGGCACTTATTTCCCTTATACAACTTCAAAAACGATTAATCAATTTAGAGGTTTCTGCCTTTACCAAATTTTGATAAGCAGATTTTGTGCTACCAATTTTTACATAATTAATACACAAGCTAGATGAATGATTTATTTTCCTACATTTTTCTAGACATGCCTTATCTGTAATAACTCTTGAAAATACAGATTTAAATGGCCATAGCTCTCTAACAAATCCTACAAACAATGATTATCTAACCCTAGGTGGGTTTCCAGCCACCTGTCTTTATGTGCGTTTTCAATTTGCGTATAAAAAAAGCTGAGGTGGAAACGTTGGTTTCATTGAGCAAAATGCAACAAAGTACAATGGAAACAGACTTCGACATCTACTCAAGAGACGAACAATAGCAGCAGACAAACACCAGATCTGAGCGTTAACGACTGTAACCTCTAATTAATACATGAAACAAACTGAAATATCACATTTCACATTGTGTTTTCTTTTCACTCTTTTCGTCTGCACTTAATAGAAGAATTAGCGCCACCTACAGTTTATTTCCACGAACCAACTCCAAATAACTGCATAACAGTAGTAGATAGAAATGTGCCTTCATTTGCAGTAATGTCTTATACTGGGAATGGTGACAGAGCTGTGGCTGTAGGCCTATAGCAGTGGTTCCCAACCTTTCTCCTTTTCTGTCATTGACTAAACTGACGACCTCACTAATGTTTTATAGATATTTCATATTATATTCAATGTAAAACAATAACAGCCCAGAACAAACGATAAACTGTACAATGATAGCAAATAGTGATCGCCATAACTGCAGGAAGTTTGTGTAAAACAAGCAATTTGGAGGAAGTTCTAGCAGATTATTTCCTGTGAGATGAGTTTTACTGATATTTTTGTCTCATTCTTCTATTAGCTCTTTGGTTGTTTTACCAGAGTTAAGTGAAATAATAACCTAAACTTAAGAAAATAACAACTTAATTTAGTTTCATTCACAAAAATAAACAAAAACGCTGAGATACAGGCCTACTGTGTATATTTTTAAAGTTGTTTTACACCCATTAAACTCAAGAAGGCCTTGCTTTGGCGACCCCTAGGTTGTGAACGAGTGCATACTGTTTATTAATGCTGGTTTTATTTACTTATTTAGTTGCAGAACTTGTTTTCAATGTAGCGGCACTACCGATAACTGGAACTGTCATGTAGGTGTTTCATGCAGCCTGGTTCTTCCCCTCAATGCACGTCATTATGTGGAGAGATAACAGGTAGCATTTGATAGTTGTGTGTGTGTGTGTGTGTATATATAATTTACTAGTTACTGTGTACTTGTTCCAAGGGACAGAAAATCATTTCAGAGGGCGTGTGAGAGACAGAAGGAAAGGTGAGCTTGTATTATTACACACACATACACACACACACACACACACACACACAGTGGTGGGACAGACAATACCAGATGAAGATTGAAATGGGAGGAAGAATCAATATTTCCATTCAAACGTCTGTTTCATTTTCTCCAGATTAGAGGAGACTGTTTCTCTCTGTTCCAACCGACCACCAGGCCGCACAATGTCACTGTGTGTATATGTGTGTGTGTGTGTGTGTATAGGTGTGTGTGTTGTGTGTGTGTGTGTAGGTGTGTGTAGGTGTGTGTGTGTGTTCTCATGTCACCACAACCAGCCTGTGTG